TGGCCGAGTACAAACGTGGTCGTACGAGCATTTTAGACGAGAAACGTTCCGGGCGCCCGAAAATCGCTACAACTGACGAAATGATCGATTTTGTGCATCAAGCTGTGATGGAAGATCGTTGATTGACTGTTAAGGATATTGCTGAGGCTTGTGGGATATCATCTGAACGGGTGCACAAGATTTTACATCAAGAATTGGATATGAGAAAATTATCCGCGCGCTGGGTGCCGCGCTTGTTGACGATCGACCAAAAGCGCATACGGATGGACATGTCGCGCGAATGTCAAAATTGAACGAATTGAAGTTTGAATTGCTTCCGCACCCACCCTACTCGCCAGATCTAGCTCCCAGCGACTTTTTCCAAATTTGAAAAAATTTCTCGGAGGAAAAAAATATAAGTCATATGCTGAGGTGGAAAACGCTGTAAATCAATATTTTTTAGGTTTAGACAATCAATTTTTTTTTGACGGTTTAAAAGGATGGGAAAAACGTTGGACCAAATGTATCGAGTTGCAGGGAAACTACGTCGAGAAATAAATTTTGTTTTGCTTCGAAATATTTGTTTTTCTTAAAAAGGCCGGAAACTTTTCAAATGACTCTCGTAATATAAAAAATTTACTTTCCTTGCATTTCTGGGATATAAAACTATTTCATGTGGGTCCCAAACAACAACTTTTTGTGAATAACTAAAGTTCTGTAGAAGCGCAAAAAATTGGACTATTTTAACATTCTCTTTTAATGCAAATCCTGTTATATTCGATGATTTTAACAAATTAATAGTGGCAGATATATAAAGCTTTTGCAGTTTTTGCTGACAATTCTCATATTATGTTAGCAAACTTTATTAGCAAAACACAAACTTAATGTGCAACATTTGATACCAATTTACTAAATATTTTAATAAAATTTTGTAACTTGTAGACAAATTGCTAACATTTATTGACTAAGTCGTTTTCTTTCAATTTTTTTATAATTAGCGTTACAGGTGCGCGCGCTATATTTAATATTTTTTTATTACATTTTCTATTACATTATTAACCAATACACAATACACACAACTGTCAAAATATGCAATGGCAATCTCTCACATGAAATAAGCGCAGTGAGACAACCAATCGGCATCGTGGAAAAGCGACAACAATACTTCGAGAAATGCGAGTCATGCTTTTTGTCAGTATTTCAGAAAGGACACATCAATCTCAATATACACAATTGTCAAAATATGCAATGACAGCCGCTCACGAAGTAAGTGCAGCAAGAGAACCAATTAGCATTGCGAAAAAGAAGCAACTCTTAATAAATTTTGAGAGAATTTCGAGGGATGCGAATATCGATTTAACATGCTTTTTTTTAGGTAAGGCAAAGTTATGTATCATTTATACCCACGGATGTCCATACACGATCTGTAGAATTTCTTCGCTTTGAGAGTGGCATTATTGTCATCCGCATTTAGTGATTCTTCGAGGACGCGTTTCAGGATCACCTGCAGCTGATCAGCTAGTATTTCGAAGGTGCTGATGGCGCTCCGATCCTCTGGTATCACATGTAATCGATTCCACGTTCCGCAGGCATATTGAAAGAAGTCAATGCACGGCGCTGCGGTATGATCCATCGCTGCTAATAAACTCGCCGCTATATTACAAATGAATATTAAAATTAATCAAAATTCAAACCCGCCCGTAATGCAAAGCAATAAATTAAATAAATAAGAAGGCCAAGAAACGAGCACACAATGAAAAAGATGTAAAAATTAATGCTTAAAATGAAATTCTAGAACATTTTAGACTTTACAGTCATCTTCAGCTAGTATAATTCAAAACACGCAGTAAAATAAAATAAAAAAACAAGTACATTAAAACACAAAGTCAAAATAATAAAAACGGATTACAGGTAGCAAGAGGCCATGTCAATAAAAATTTTTGACAATTTTTATAAAACGAAACTCTCAGATAATCTTCTTGGCGTCAGGAAGCGCACATGGTCAATAGTCCATCGTCAAACAAACATGGTCCTGCTTCCCGACGCCAAGAAAATTATCTGAGAGTTATGTTTTAGAAAAATTGTCAAAAATTGTTATTGACATGGGCTCTTGCTACCTGTAATCCGTTTTTATTATTTTTACTTTGTGTTTTAATGTACTTGTTCTTTTATTTATTGTATTTACTGCGTGTTTTCAATTGTGCTAGCTGAAGATGACTGTGTGAAATCTGGAACATTCTAAAATTTCTTTAAGGGGGTATTCTAGTGTAACCGGTCAAAAAAATTGATTTTTATCTTTTTGCATATTCTTATAGTTTAGGGTCTTGAAAATGTGTTTCTAAAATATTAAGATGAAATTTGTCAAATTGACCGAGCTATAGAGGTTTAAAGACGTAGCCCTCGTGCGCGTCCATGCGGCTCGTCGCCCTGATTTCTATGCAGTAGACGGATTTTTTGCGTGTCAGGTAGTATTTCTTTACGTAGCCAAATAGTGCTACATATAGTTGAGAAAGGTATTCTGTACGGCCCTGGTATAGCTGACTAAGGGTAAGTTACTGAAATTACTCTTTCCTTTGAAATTATCCACCTTGTAAACGTATGAGAAACTTTAAACACGTTTTTCTCGAAACGACATTTTTCAAATCGGGCGTGTATTTTTCTTACAAACTACTAGGCCGATCGACTTGCGCTTTTGCATACATATAGTGTACATATTAGGCTATCGCCTGAACCTCCAACCTTTTTGATCTCTTAAAAATTACTATTTTTCCGGACCGTGAAAATTAAATATTTTTATCAAAATCAAACTTTTTTTTTTTAAGCATCGCCATTTTGTCTATTGTTCTTTAAATGATTTACTTAGAGGTTCGGGCGATAACCACATTTGTAAGGAATAAAATAAAAAAAAGCTCGTTTATTTGAGATGACGGCCGCAATCACTACGCCCGATAGAAAAGGAATTTCAAAACATGACCTGCGCGTCCATTTGTACCGTGTGTAATTCTCAATAAAAAACATTTAAAAAATTTGAGATGTTACTTCAAAATATGTATAAATGTAAAAACAAAACATTACATTTATAGGTTTAACCGTTTTTATAAAATTAATTCTCAAATATCACCTTAAAAGTGGACGTTCACACTAGAATACCCCCTTAAAGCTTCAATTTTTACATCTTTTTTATTGTGTGCTCGTTTCTTGGCCTTCTTATTTATTTAATTTATTGCTTAATATTCTAATTATTTTCTTTCCACGCGATTATGCACTTATTCATTAAGAATGTTCACTTCTTAATTTCTCTACACAATATCCCTCACAGTATCTCTCACAACGTCACAATAAATCAATTACTACTAAAATAAAATAATACAATAAAGAAAATAAAATGTAAAATGAGCGTTATTAACAGCATTATTGGAGAGAGAATTTAGTAGAAAGGCAGAGTAATGAAAGCTGAACCTGTAAGAGCGAGAATTGAGATATTGGACCATAAAAAAGCGATACCAAACGTTAAAAAAGTGTTAACGAAGCATAGTAGAGTTCTTCGGCAAATGCGAAAAGAATGATTGTTGAATATATGTAAATGAAGTGTCCTCAAGCTTTACAAACATAAATGGAATATTATCAAACTTGTCGGTAAACATACGCTTATTCTCAATTTGAGGATTTCAAAATACATTTTATTTATTTTCACCTTGAAACCTTCAAAAAATTATTTCGTTAGAACACAAGTAAAAAATTGCATAATGCTGTTTCTATTTTGCATGGTTTTTAGTTACCGAAAATAGAACTTTGTGTCGCGTTTATCTGGTAGGGATACCGCGCTACTCCTACTACTCCTGGAAATTTAAGAAGTCTCAATTTATGCGAGAAATATGTATACATAAAATGCTTTATATGAAGAGTTTTGAAAGTATTAAAAAAAATGTCTAAATATATACATTATTGAAGTGTACGAAAAGTGTATCGAAATACTTTGTGCACGTTTTGTAAAGCATTTGGGAAACGTAAATAAAAGTAAATTGAAAAGTGGGAAACATAATAGCAGAGAAATCTGAGATTGGACATATGTAACGATCTTTTTTCTTTTATTGCAAAATTCTTTCGCGCACTAGCGCCCATTAAAAAAGTAGATGTAACTACATAACAATAATATCCATTTTTCTGCACTGCATACAATTTTGTGATGCGTGTCCGTGATACATTCTTTTTCGAAACTGTTAGTAAATTATTATTTGGTTCGTGCTACATCCAAATTTTTGATTAAAAATATTTTAAGTATATTCTATTAATATAATCTATAATTATATATCTCTTTACATATGCGTCATTTTTCTTTCGCTGTAACCTTAAAACGATCCTAAAATCGTCTCTTTTATCGATTAAACATGATTCTTTCCAGCACACCGTTAAGACGATCCTAAAATCGTCTGTTTTATTGATCGGACGCGATTATATTCCAAAACAAAATAAACATAATTAAAGGCAACAGATTAAAAAATCCTTCTCCACGATTAAAGTATAGGGCATCAATGTAGTTCCGGCTGGTAGAAGTTATGCTGAGAACGCAAAAAATTTATGAAATTTAGATCTCCGTTACCTTTTCTTAGTCCAACATAGCATCTAGAGCTGTCACATGTGCCAATTTGCTTCGTACAACAATTTGGCAGTTTGTGGTACAAAATGATACCAGCCGGAACTACGAATTACATGTGCAAACAATGTTGAGTTCATAAAATTAGGCTTGGATGCCTAATAAAAAAGATGTATGTTCTTGAAAATTTGTTACGATGTGTGCGTGAGATATCGATATGGTATTAAACATGAACATATCACTACACATTACTATGTCAATATCGCACGCATACATACTCACAAATTGTCGGTAAAATAGCGAATTTTTGGAGTTTGATCTCGGGTTTAGGATCCCCTTAAGGCGATGCCGGAAGGTCGGGAAAATTTGTACGAGTCGATAAAGCAGACTCTTCAGTGTCCGTGGTATCTCTTGTAAATGAACTTTTTACAATATCTTCTGTCTCACTCAAACACGTGGAATGTCCTTATCTAACTTATTGAAGTGCCATCTCTTGGAAAATCCGGCATTACTGTCAAACGTAATTTTTGCTGTCTTTACCTTAGCCAAGCGTACGAATTACATTCTAATGCACAAATTGCATTCTAATGGATAATTGTTTTTCTACGCTTCCAATCAAGCTTAAAAGATCTTGTATTGTTCGTGCAAGTAATCCGATGCGCGCCAACTACTTATTCGTGTACATATGAGCTACAGAACTTTTGTACCAATGAAATGTTTACGTCAGGTTATTAACGAAAGGTTATGATAGTTGTACGACAAGAAAAAAAGTAATTTTTTCATATTTTTTCGTTTTTACTACAAATTTATACCTAGCGCGTTTATCTCTATTTTATCTCTATTTCAATCCTGTAAAAGCGTTTTCAAATCCGTTCAGTCGTTTCGGAATTAGAATGCAAATGTCGGTATTCCAGCATCGCCTTAAGAGAATGCTGAAAGATCTAGAATTACCAACATTTGCATTCTAATGGATTACTCCGAACCGACTGAACGGATTTGAAAACGCTTTTACAGGGTTGAAATAGATATAAAATGTAAGCGCGCTAGGTATAAATTTGTAGTAAAAATAGAAAAATATTTTTTTCGAAAAAATTAAAAAATTACCTTTTTTCGGGTCGTACATTTATCATAACCTGTCACCTGACATAAACATTTCATTGGTACAAAAGTTATAGCTCATATGTACACGAATAAGTAGCTGGCGCGCATCGGGTTACTTGCACGAATAATACAAGATCTTTTGAGCTACGATTGGAAGCGTAAAAAAATAATTATCCATTAGAATGCAATTTGTGGTAATTCGTACGCTCAGCTAAAGTAAAGGCAGGAAAAATTGCGTCTGGTAGTAAGTGCCGGATTTTCCAAGTAATAGCACTTCAATAAGTTAGATAAGGATTCCACGTGTTTAAGTGAGACCAGAAGATATAATTGTAAGAAGTTCATTTAGAGATACCACTGACACTGAAGAGTCTGCTTTATCGACCTCGTGCAAATTTTTCCGACTTTTCAGCATTCTCTTAACATAATTGCAATATACAGATTTGATAATCTTTTTCCATTATTAAAGTCATTAACTGATTCATAGATATCAATGTCAGGCTGGTAGAGTTGTTGAGAATGAAAAGAAATTAAGAAATTTAGATCTCCGTTATCTTTTCTTAGTCCTTATGTGTTTAGAGTTGTAAACGTGTACTAATATTTGCTTCATACATAAATTTAGCAGCCTGTTGGTACAAAATGGGAATAACCTGAATTACGAATTACATAGCCAAACAATGTTGAGTTCTTACAATTAGAATTAGACTTAGATGTCTAATATGAAAGATTTAAATGCTTGAAAATTTGTTACGATGTGCGCGTGCGATATTGATACGATAGTAAACATAAACACATCATTACACACTACTGCATTAATATCGTACGCATACATATTGTTACGCTCGCGCTCACTGTT